ATAAATATACAGTAACAGGAACAGTTCAAGGTTTTGTTTTGTTTTTTTTTTTTCCTTTGGAAAAAAAAGGAAGAAAAGGGAGAAGGAACTTATTCTGATACTAAGACATGTTATAAAACTGTAGTAATTGAAATGATGAAATTGATGCAAAAATGGATATTTAGGTAAAAGAGCAGAAAGTCAAACAGAATTGAGATCCTGTGCATTCGTGAGAAGTTTGTATGTGATTGGGATAGCATTTCAGAACCATGGGTAAAGGGATCCCTGGGTGGCTCAGCGGTTTAGCCCCTGCCTTCTGCCCAGGGCATGATCCTGGAGACCTGGGATCGAGTCCCACGTCGGGCTCCCTGCATGGAGCCTGCTTCTCCCTCTGCCTGTGTCTCTGCCTCTCTCTCTCTCTCTCTCTCTGTATCTCTCACGAATAAATAAAATCTTTAAAAAAAAAAAAAAAAGAACCACAGGTAAAGAATTAATTAGTCAAGAAATGGTTTGAAAAATAAATGGTCGAGCAGCAATACCTATCCATACAAAAAAATTAAATTCCTACTTGATACCATACATATAAACAAATTCCTGTTGGATTTTAAAACAGTACAGGGATCCCTGGGTGGCGCAGCGGTTTGGCGCCTGCCTTTGGCCCAGGGCGCGATCCTGGAGACCCGGGATCGAATCCCACATCGGGCTCCCGGTGCATGGAGCCTGCTTCTCCCTCTGCCTGTGTCTCTGCCTCTCTCTCTCTCTCTCTGTGTGTGACTATCATAAATAAATAAAAAAAAAAATTAAAAAAAAAAATAAAACAGTACAAAACCAAACTTAATAATATCTGAAGAGGGATCCCTGGGTGGCGCAGCGGTTTGGTGCCTGCCTTTGGCTCAGGGCGCGATCCTGGAGACCCGGGATCGAGTCCCACATCGGGCTTCCGGTGCATGGAGCCTGCTTCTCCCTCTGCCTGTGTCTCTGCCTCTCTCTCTCTCTGTGACTATTATAAATAAATAAAAAAAAAAAAAATAAAAAAAAAAATAATATCTGAAGAAAAAAGATATTACGGGATCCCTGGGTGGCATAGTGGTTTGGCTCCTGCCTTTGGCCCAGGGCGCGATCCTGGAGACCTGGGATCGAATCCCACATCGGGCTCCCGGTGCATGGAGCCTGCTTCTCCCTCTGCCTGTGTCTCTGCCTCTCTCCCTCTCCCTCCCTCTCTCTGTGACTATCATAAATAAATAAAAATTAAAAAAAAAAGAAAAAAGATATTACAAAAATTTCTTGATGTCTCTATTAGTCAGGATTCTTGGTTTCAACAGAACCATCAAAACTCAAGTCTGGTTAACCTCAGCAGAAACAGCGTACAGCCAGGAGATAACTTCACAAATGGGTAGGAAGCTGAGGAAAATGGCAAGAGCCAAAAGTCCTTCTTAAATATGACATAAAAGAGAAGAAACACGAAGGAAGAGTGATAAATTTGACTGTGTTAAATTTATAAAGAACTTCTAAAAGCAGTAAGAACATGGTTTGTTAACAACCACTTTGGAGGGTGATCTGGAAGCATCTAAGGAAAGCTGTGCTTACCTAAGATCTAGTAAGTTGCACGTCTTAGTATTCCCCTGGAGAACTATACACATTTGTGCCCGAGGAGACATGGTTAAGAGTAGGCATTTCACCCTTATCTGTAATTCTGAGAAATGAGAAGACCTAAATGTCTGTAGGTACCGGAAAAGATAAAACAGAACATGGGTAGTTGGCAAAAGGAATGTGATGTCACAAATAGAAAGGTCTAGAAGTCGGGGGGGGGGGCAAGTTGGAGAATAATATGGGCAAAATTATGCCATTTTTGTAAGGAAATACATAGAACATTATTGCAGTCTGATTTAAATTGAGAGGGGGGGGATCCCTGGGTGGCGCAGTGGTTTAGCGCCTGCCTTTGGCCCAGGGCGCGATCCTGGAGACCGGGGATCGAATCCCACGTCGGGCTCCTGGTGCATGGAGCCTGCTTCTCCCTCTGCCTGTGTCTCTGCCTCCCTCTCTCTCTGTGACTATCGTAAATAAATAAATAAAAAAATTAAAAAAAAATAAATTGAGAGGGGGCTGGAATGAAGAGATAGTAAGATTTCAGCTTTATCTATAATGTTCTTGTTTTTCTTTTTAAGCTAATACTTAGGTACTTAACAGAGAGGAATGAGCATGGTCCACAGGGCTTCTTCAGACCCCATGTTCCTCCTCCCTCTCATAGCTTCATCTAGATTGTTCCCCAGTACCACCGGACCTTTGAATGTGATGCTTCTGTCCAGAATCTTGCCCCTCCTTTCCTCACCTAGTTTACTCTATCAGTTCCTTTTGGCTTCTGTGAGAAGACCAATCCTCAACAATGCTTTCTCAGGGCCTCTGACCTTGGTCAACCTCCTGGCCTTCAGAGGACTTACCTTTGAACTTAATTACATATGCATCTTGTGATCCTTCACTCTAGCTCTCCGAGAAAGAGACCGTTTCATGCCTGTTCCTCACTGTGTCTGAACACTTCCCTTCAGGTCTGGTAAAATAGTCATTCCAGAACTACTTGTTGGAAGCATTAAAGCCTGAAGGCTAGAAAAATGACTGTGCACACTCCTAGAACAACTGTATCTTGAGGCCTCAAACCAGACACACCCCCAAACATTGTCACTTTCCTTCTATACCTGCAGCCTCCTCAAAGCTTCTCTACCCCCAGGCTGTCCCCCACCCCAGGCTGTTTTAAGGTTGAAGCCACCCAGGAACATTCCTAATTCTCTGCCCTTCTTGTCTCATCAGTCTCTTCACCTGTAAATTTGACCTCTCCATTCCCACAGCCTAATGCAAAGGGCCATCCTCTCTCACCTGGCTGATGCAACAGCTGCTTCTCCTTTCCCAATGCACCCCAATCTGCAACCAAGCCACATCCACATAGCTTCCAGAGCCACGGACTTTCAAGGGGGAATTTAACCATGACTCTCAGCAGCCTGTCACTCAGCACACTTTTAATATTGCTTCACCATCAGGCTTACCTGTAGAGTTGGCCTGGTTTACTCCAGGTCTGAGGGGTTCTGGGGTGCCAGCCTTTTCAGTGTTCAAATTGGGAACTTCCTGGGCAAACCAGGACAGGCTGGTCATTCTACTCCATGAGGCTGTAATTTCCACAAGGGCTCATTTGGGGTCCGTTCACCAGCACAGTGAGGTCTTTTTTAAAGTTGTCTTTGCAGAATTAGAAAGTGAATGTAAATACTCACCTTGCTTGGTCCAGCAGCTTACATGGGGCCTAATGCCCAGTCAGTGCCCAAGTACCATTTTTGCAGATAAGAAACTTCACAGGGCTGATACCCAAACTGCTTTACTGAATTGGCTGAAAACTGACCTCAAGACCAGGGTTCTAATCCTTGTAGAAGGAAACACCACTCTGGGGTAGGATGTGTGGCTTCAGGCAACCGAATTACCTGCAAATTCCTCGACTCTAAATAAGATCCCTGTTTCCGGAATGTTCACTGATATACACACTGACCCCACGGGACCTCCTTGTATCCCCTTCTCACACAGTGGCAGAGCGTGTTGTGGCTTCTTTGGTGTCCACTCCAGTTGAATCTGAACCCTACCACTTGTTGGCCATGTGACCGTGGGCAAGTCATTTCTCTGAACCTCCATCTTTACAGAATGCAGGCTTGCCCTTCCTCGCTCCCAGCACTCTTGAGGATCAAATAATGTGCAAAGACACTGCAAGTGCTAAATGGCTATCCAGATACTGTGCTTCCAACTCCTAGTCTTCCCCCTGTCCATTTCATGCAGCCAAGGCAGATTTTCTTGTTCCAGTAAAAACCTTGAAGAAGACCAAGGAAATAGGACAATTATGACAAGCTTCAGGTGAACTGAGTGAATGAAGCTGTGGGGATGGGAGGTAAGGTTTTCCCTGGAAGGGAAGGAGTCAAATATTTCCTCTCTAAGCTACTTGGGAGAACCTATGACAGGCCAGATAATTGAGACCATCTTCATTCCTCTTTGCTCTACTCTCCCAATACAAGTAAGAGTTAATTGGCCTAAAAAGAGATCCAGGCCATATACTGCCTTCACATGAATTGTTCAGAAGAGGGCAGGTTATACTGAGCCCTTTGCCTGAGAAAATCCCCAAGGACCCCTTTATCCTTTTAATACCCAGGCCCCGAGATAAAAGGCTCAGTTTGTGTTATTGAAGCGCAGAAAAATGACTGGATAGATTTTCACCAATTTGGAAGGCATGTTGGGGATGGTTTGCCTTAAAATAGAACTCCGGGGAGCCCTAAGAGAGGCGTCAAGGAGTTAGGTCATTGTCTTCAAAGCAGCCACAAGTGACAAAGTGAGCCCTGTGTGGTTTGCCTATGGGGAGAAAGATGCCCTACATGTTAAGATGCGATGGGCAGAGAAAACGAACTGGTTTCAAATTCAAACTCGAAATCAAAGACTTGAGTACGTTTCAGAAGAGTCCTTTCTGTCTCCAGGTTCGAGACCTCCAGCTGAGAGCCCGGGTGGAAGACACTAGTTAGTTTGTTCTTTATTTTCATTGGAAAGTTATATGGTTACTTATCGACAAAAAAAGACTGTCCAGGGCAGAGATATCCAGTGGTTTCTATGTACAGGCCCATCCCTGGGGTCCACACCTCCACGGGAGCCTCACCCTCGAGGCCTCAGCTGGCTCCTTCCCAGGCCTCCAGGAACCAATCACAAAGACACAAGGAACAAAAACCGGCCTGACCTCGGCATCTGCTTTTGCCCCAAAGGGAGGTGGCGGCTGCTGGGAGGGGACCCAGGCCTATTGTCAGGATGGTGGGTGCAGGGGCCTCTCTCCTTCATACACCCCCCTCCCAGGAAGGGACTACTCTGACAGGCTCATGGGTTCCCACTCTGGCCTTCTTTTCCTTCTAGTTGTCATTTTAACACCGAGGCATTTCAGCCTCCCGTCTTGGAAGGTAAGCATTTGCTCTGTCGCCTTTTCTTTTGTCCCTGTTTTTGTATAAAAACAACAATACTCTCAATCAGACCATTTTTTTGCCCAAGAAACAAAAGTGGCTCAACAGGTACAGTTCTGCTGGTCGATCTGCTTCCGGCAGGGTTCCATGGTGACAGCGACACCCACCCCGCTCCGGCCGGATGTCATGTGGGTCACCTCACTCCAGGTGTCTGTGTCTGGGTCATAACACTCCACACTGTCCAGGAATGTGTGGCCATCGTAGCCTCCTGCAGGGAGAACAGAGTCACCCCCTCTGAGGGCAGGAGAAAAAAAGAGGGAGAAGGAACCCCAAGAGGCCTTCCTACTGGGATTTGAGCCCAACCCCCCAAAGATGGGGTTAAACAGTGCTCTCCACCCAGATCCCCACTCCCAGGGCCTCACCCAGAACGTAGATTCTTCCCTGGTGCACAGTAATCCCTAGGGCACTTCGCCGATGCTTCATGGGAGCTACAAAAGTCCACGTTTCCGTCTCTACATCATAGCGCTCCACGCTGTTCAGCTGGTCCTGACCATCATAGCCCCCCGCAGCATAGATACAGTTGTGTAGGACACAGACTCCTAAACCGTACCATGCAAACAGAGTGACTCCAGGGCCTGGTGTTGAGAGCCCCAGCCACCACCTTCTTGGGGGCACCCTCCCCTTCTCCCTCTCCTTGGGGACCCTTCAGAAACAAAGCCAGAAGAGAAGAGCTTGGACTTTCAGAATCTAGCTCTCCCGTGTGTGCCTCAGGGTTTAAGACCAAAACAGGAAGCCTCCCCCAGGCTTTGCTAAGTTTCACTCCCAGGGGTGGGACAGTGTTCCTCCTCACTCCCCTCCTGGCAGCCCCCATACCCACCTGCCCCACTTCGGATGGTGTTCATGGGTGTGATCATTCTCCACTCATTTCTCTCGGGGTAGTAACACTCGGCTGAGCTGAGGCGGTTTGTTCCATCAAAGCCCCCGACGGCATAGAGCAAACGGTTGAGGACAGCCACTCCCACCCCGATCCTTCGAGTCAGCATGGGAGCCACCAAGTGCCACTCATCCCGTTCTGGTTCATACCTACAAGGGCATAGTAACGGTAACAATAGCAATCACAGCTGACCTGTGTGGAACACTTACTATGACCCAATATGCTGCTAATTCTTTATGCACCTGAACTCTTTACTCCTCAGAGCTTTTCTCTGAGGAAACAGGTTCACAGCCATCATCTGCTCAAGGTTACACACGCACCTGTTGGACGCTGGTGGTGGCTCCACCATATAGCACTGCCAGGCCCTGTGCTGTGTCGTATGTTAGCTCAGCAAAACCCACTTTGACCATTGGGCAGGTAGTCCTTATTATCATCTCCCACTTCCCCCATCATCTTTAGATAACAAGATAAAAGCATGGAGGGATGAAATGGCAAGACCAGGGTCACCAAGGAGCTGGAGGTTTGACCCAGCCTTCTAGGACACAAGAATCTGGGCAGCCCTGTGGCACAGCGGTGTAGCGCCGCCTGAAGCCCGGGGTGTGAACCTGGAGACCCAGGATCGAGTCCCACGTCGGGCTCCCTGCATGGAGCCTGCTTCTCCCTCTCCCTCTGCCTGTGTCTCTGCCTCTCTCTCTCTGTGTGTGTCTCTCATGAATAAATAAATAAATAATTCTTTAAAAAAAAAAAAAAAAAAGGACACAAGAATCTTAATTCTAACAACTAGGCTGCCACCCAGGATGGTTTTCGTACAAGTGTGCTGTTTGGTTATAATTCCCATTCCCCAGCCTCACTCCAAACCCACCAATACCAGATCTCCAGCAGTGGGCTAGGGAGTTTAACAAGTTCTCCAGCTGAGAACTGTATCCTGGATCAAGCTTCTGAAAGAGGAGAAGGCAGAGGACTGTCTGGCAAAAGTCAAAAGCCAAAATTCCTTAGGCTCTAAACACAGGGTCATCACGCAGTTCTACATGTTGTACACTGCACAAGGGTCCCACATCCAAGGGGGCACCTTCCACACAGAAGACCTCATACATCAGTTTATTACAGCAATTTTGGGGCAGATGGCAGTGAGGTGTCATGTCTTAATAAAATTAGCATTTTATAACAACTTTGAACTGATAGAACTCTTTCCAAATCTGCAGGAGTTGTATGGGTTTGGGACAGCCCTGTAAGCAATTCCCAGGCCCAGACACGTCATCCAAGGTCACTGACCATAAATCCCCCATGAATTCAGCTTCACCTGAGGCTTCCCCTCCCTGAAGCCAGGACAGAGACAAGCACTCAACAACAGGGGAATACCCAAATTCCAATGGCTTGGGGCCTGTCAGCAATGGGAATCTGTAAGCCCACCCCTCCAGGCCCTGCCACTCACCTCTCCACACTGTTGTGGTGGATGCAGCCGTGGGAGCCACCGACAGCATAGATGTGCCCATCAATGACCCCAACCCCAATCCGATTGCGTGGTACACTCATGGAGGCACAGGGCGACCACTGGTTGGTCATGGGGTTATAGCAGTCCAGGGCGCTGGAGTCGGTGTTGCCATCTGGCGAGTTGTTCCGGCCGCCCACAGCATACAGCAGCCCACCCACTACGCAGCCCGCCAGGCCACTACGAGGCACCTGCAGGTCTGCCAATCGGAGCCAAGTGCCATCACTGGGGTTGTAGGCCTCTAGGTAGCTGAGTGACTGGCGGAAGTAGCCACCAGCGGTGTAGATGAGCCGGCCCACTTTGGGCGCCCGACAGGGCATCACCTGCGTGGGCTTATGCAAGGTCAGCTCCTGGAAGATCTTGACCAGGTAGTCCTTGCAGCGGGAGTCCGACTGCAAGATCTCACACTTCTGCAGCTGCATCTGCAGGAAGTGGGGTGTGAGCGAGTGACATCGCACAGCCCGGAGCAATGCCTGGACATAGAAGCGCCGCTGCTCACAATCATACTTGACCCAGTTGATACAGGCGTGGAAGACCTCGGACTCGCAGCGCACATTCAGATCGTCTCGGCTGATGAGAGTCACCAGCTGGCAATGGGACAAGTTGAAGAACTCCTCTTGCTTGGCCACCTGCAGAGGGCATTACTGTGACAGGCTGACTCCCCTCAACGGCGGTATGATCGCGGCCAAGTCACTCAACCTGCCTCTGACAATCTCAGTTTCCTATTTTGTAAAACGAGGATTCGAATAGTGTGAACTTCATAGGTTGTGAAGAAGATTAAATGAGTTAATGCTACAAGCATATGGTACCTAAGTACTTACGTAGATGGGTGAAGGCACTACTATGTACCTTTTTGTATCATTGTGTGCTTGAACTACAAGATTGTTACCTCTATTTTCAACAAAATTACTTTTTCAAAAGGGTAGATGGACCAAAAAGGAAAAAGTAATGGGGACAGAATAGTCTAGAAAAAGTGTAGGCTCTAAAGAAAGAAGGCTGAGCTGCAACTTGGCCCACTACTTTCTAACTAGGTGATCTTGGGCAAATATCTCTAACACTCCATGCCTTGTTTTTCCTCCTCTGTAAGAGCAATTATATTAGTAGCTACCTCAGAGCCGGGGCTAATCTTCGGGTGTACAGGGTCCTGGGCAAATATTTCTTGTCAGGCACTAGTCTATATAAATAACTCAATTACCAATATTGGTAGGTCACCAATGTCCTGGTACCTCAAGCCCACACGGTCCCTTTAAAGAAACACTGCAGGCCTGTGGGAAAGCCCTGCTCACAGACCACCCTCACCGTCCAGGAAGCCATGGGCCTTAGGACCAACGTCAGCGCTCCTCAGGGCATCTGGTCGACCCCAATGTGGGGGAGAGGGAAGGAGAACATCCACCCCTTAAGGAAAGAGATGGAAACCAGGGCAGTATCTACCCCAGCTGATTCCAGCCACTGGAAGAGGAGTTTTAGAATTTCCAGGAAGGCACACTAAAGCACGGAACTCCCTAAAGCATGGGGCCTGGGGTACAGCCCTGTTGGGCCAGGCCTAAGGGTGGTACTTCCTCAAAGGATAGTGGGGGAAAACCCAATGATTTAAAGAATGGAAATCACTTAGAACAGGGGGTGGCCCACAGCAAATGTTCAACAAACACTTATTATTATCATCATCCCAAGGGCACAACTTCTAGTGGCTGCCACCCAAGAATTTGGGCTCATCATTGTGACTTACAAGGCATCTGTTATTTTCTGCTCACAACTTCCTCCACTTAAAACTGAAAATGAAACCAAGTACAGGGTAAGGACAACACAGCATGGACCACAGGAAACATGTCTAAGGGTCACATTTGAGATAGGAAGCATGTCATGGGTGTTCAACAAATATTTGCAGACTGTCTGAAATATTAGGCCCCCAATAGCGCACCCTAAGGTTGAGCTGCACCCTGGCCCCACCCCTGACCCCAGAGAAGTCGGGGATCCCAGACATAGACCCATGAAGCTCTCACTTTCCTCAGCTGTTTCCCACAGTCACCCCAGATGTGCAGACTAGGACTTCAGAAGCCCATTTCTCTCCAGCTCCCTGATCTGACCCTTCTCATCTCAAGGGAAGACAGGGATGACAGGGATGTCCATCCATCTATCCCTGGTCCTTCTGATACCACCGTCAAGCCCTGGCTCCCTGTCTCTTCCCGTCACTCACCTCTCCGAAGTGCATATAGATGTACTCGCGGGCACGCTGGTGCAGCTCGGCGCAGCCAATCTGTTCAGCGAAGTTGGCAATGCCAATGGCATTGCTGGGGTCCAGCTGCTGCACGAGGAAGTCACTGCAGGCACGGACGACGCTGTCGATCTGGTACATGACGGCACCATTCATCACGTGGAGCACGCACTTCTCACCCATGGAGATGGAGGCCGTGTAGGCAAACTCAATTAGGCGCTCCATGACCTTGGGGTGGATGCCCTCAATGGACACCACCTCCATGCCCTGCTCCCGTAGCCCATTGGTGAACATGGCCTTGAAGACGGGGCTGGATGAGGCCAGCACCACCTTGTGAGCCATGAACTGGGCAGCTGGCGCGTCCTCGTATTTGACCTGCAGCGTGACGTCACACAGCTGCTGGCTGAGCCGCAGCTCGTTCATGATTCCGAAGGCCTGCTTGGTGTGGTCCTCCAGCGTGTAGCTGAAGGTGCGGTTGCCATGCTGGGAGGGCGTCACCTCGGCTTTGCACTCGGTGGAGGCGTACATCACCGTGTCCCCTGCCCCCTCGGGGCGCTGTGACCTCAGGGGAAGGAATCGAGTGCGGGCCCCAGCCCCGCTAGGCCCGGGTTCCGGCTGCATGGGGTTCCAGGTGACAAGGGACAACACCACCACTGGCACTCAGAGGCCTGGAGGAGGGAGAGCACAGGGCTGGGGGCAGGGCCTGGGGGCAGGCCTCCTCTTTTACGATAAAACGACTCCTAGACCAGTTTTCCTTCCCAAGCCCAGGTGAAGCAATGTCCGTCTGTGCTCACTCAGCGCCACATGGCTTCACCAGCCCAAGAGTCCAATTTAAAACACAGGTGAGATGATGTCTTTCCCTTGCGCCGAATCCTCCCACAATTCCCTACAGCACAATGAGTGAAACCAAACTCTTCAGTGTCCTACTAAAGCCCTACACAGTCGCCTCTGTCCACCTCTTCCCTTCCAAGACAGAGCACGTCTAGCTCATTCTTTCATTGGCCTCACCAACATTTACTGATTATCTACTGTGTACCAGGAACCGGAGACATCGCAGTGGAGACAGGCAGACATAAACTGTGCCCCCCTGGAGAGGACACTTGGCGAGGGATGGGCCATAAGTAAAACAAACAAGACCTGAGTAGGAACGGGGGGTTATGAAGAAAAGGACCACAGCGCTGCGACAGTGTGACCTGGGGCAGTTACTTTAAATCGGGTAGTCGGGGGCTCTGTTAGAGCGGAGACAAGAAGGATGCACACACGGAAGGGGTTTTCCAGGCAGAGGGAATAGCAAGTGCAAAGGCTCGGAGGCAGAGCGAGAGAGACCAGCTGGAGCTTCAGGGAGGAGTGTAACAAGAAATCCGGCTAAAGGGAAGGTTTCCATGAACCCTGAGGAGGCTGGAGGGCCAGGGCACGAGCTATTTTGAAAGGTCCTGTCGGGAGAAGAGGGGCATCTGCAAGAGGCTCCCCGGGTTCTGCCTTTATCTTTCCCGGACCCAGCGCAGTCCTCTCCTCCTACCACCGCACTTGTCGGAAACGGCGATGAGCTCGGCCGCTGGCTTGTTGAGGGCGGGCGGGCGCCTCCGGCTCTCAGCCCCGGCGCTTCGGGAGGAAGGGAGCCCCGGGTCGGTCAGGGTCGCGCCCACCCAAGCATGTGCCTCCCCAACGCCCTGCCTGGGGCCTGGCACTGCTCAGGGGTCAGTACGCGGGTGGCTGGCTGGCTGCCCGCCTCGCTGCCTGCCGGAGCACCCTCCTCCACCGGGCCCAGGGCCGCTCGCCGCCTCTCCCCGCCCGAGGCCCCTGCCCAGCCTCTTGGTCGCTGGCCAGGCGGCCGACGGGGCCCCTTGGACACCGGGCTCTCCCCCACCGAGCGGTCGGGGGGACTGCGCATGCCCTGCCCGAGCCGCCAGCGAGGCCCGGAGAAGGGAGGAAGTGACCCTGCCGCGGCCTTTCCGCTGGCAGCCCCAAGGCGCGCTCCCAGCTCCCCAGCGCGCCGGGCTCCGGGGCCCTCGGTCGCGGGGCGCTCCCTGGGCCTCTCGCCGCCTTGCGTAGCCCCCGGGCCAGCCCTCGGGTCGCGCCGTCCAACAAAAGGCCGGGACTCGGGCCTCGCCCTCCTGGCCCCCCGCGGGGCCGCGGGAACCCCAAGGCGCCCGGGCCCGCGGCGCCCCGTCCCCCGACCCCCGGGGCCCCCCCGGCCCGCCGTACCCACAGCCCGGGCGCAGGCCGCCTCACTCACCCCGCCATGGCCGCGCTCGAGCTCCGCCTCCGTCGCCCAGGCCCGGGCGCCTCCATCGCTGCGCGCCGGGGGGAGGCGCGGAGCGCGCGCAGGTCACCATGACTAAGCAGAGCCGGGCGCCGGCCGTGTCAGAATAAGAGTCCCCGCGGCCCGGGCCTCCGGCGGCGGCGGGGCTGACGGACGCGCCGCGCCCCCCGCCCCGCCCCGCCCCCCGCCGCCGCCGCGGGTCTCGGAGCTGCGCAGCCCCGGCGGGGCGACCCCTCGGGCCCGTCGCTGCGGCGCGCCCGGCCGCGTGGTCGGAGCCGCCGGAACCTCAGCCTGGGTTCGAGGCCCGGCGCCTCCCTGCCTGCACTGGAGGTGGAAGGGCAGCCCCCCGGCCGCGCGCTCACCTCGGCCCCCGCGCAGCCTCGTAGCTCCGGGCGCGGGGTGGGGATGCCCGGGGCACCGCAGTGGCTCCGGGCACAGGGGTGCCACCCGTGCGCAGAGCTTCCCGGAAACCCCCGGCTCCGCGGCCCGGCCGCGGGCGGCTCCCACCTAACTTTCGCTATGGGGCGCCCGCGGCCGCCGTTGGGGGGACCTTGGCTCTGGGGCGGCAAAGCCTGCGGGGTCTTGGACGTCGGGTGGGGGGGCGACTTCGGGGCGGCGGGGAAGGAGGCGGGGAGAGGGCGGAGAGGCGCGGCGGGGAGGGAACCGCGATTCCCCGCCCTTCCCGCAGGTGCCCGGCGCCCCTGGGCGCGGAGCCGGCGAGGGCGAGGGCGAGGGCGAGGGAGCAGGGCGGCGGCGGCGGGGGGGGGAGGGGGGGTCCGTGCCCACTTCGCGCTGGCCCCTTCCATCCCCCGGATCTCAGCATCTCAGCGCGTGGCTGCTCTCCCCGACCCTCTCTTTTCCCTTTAACCCCACGCAGCTCTGGGTCCAGTGGTGAAGGATCCGGCTAGATTTATTTACCTAGTTGGCTTTTCCTTTTTTTTATTTTTTTTAGATTTTATTTATTTGAGAGACAGTGAGAGAGCGAGCTCCCGCACGAGTGCGAAGGGGCAGAAGGAGACAGAGAAGCAGGCTTCCCGCTGAGCGGGCAGCCCTATGCGGGGCTGGATCCCAGGACTCCAGGATTCTGACCGGCTGAAGGCAGAGGCTTAACCAACTGAGCCACCCAGGCGCCCCTCCTTATCTTTATTTTTTAGTTACTTCCGGTCTAGAGGTGTGTGAAGTTCGCCTGCAGGGGTTTGAAGCCCGGCTCCGCCTCTGTCCAGCTCCGAAGGGATAGGTCCCTACCTCAACTCACGCTTCAATTTCCTCCCTGTAAAATGGTACTGTTACCAGCACCTACCTGCAAGGTGATCATGAGGGTGAAATGGGAATGCTAGTGCCCAGTGGATATGAACAATTGTTATTTTTCTTTTAAGATTTTATTTATTTATTCATGAGCCACACACACACACACACACACACATACACACAGACGCAGAGACACAGGCAGAGGGAGAAGCAGGCTCCATGCAGGGAGCCGGATGCGAGACTCGGTCCCAGGATTCCGGGATCACACCCTGGGCCAAAGGCAGATGCTCAACCGCTGAGCCCCACCCAGGTGTCCCGATGAGGATCCTGCTTAAGATTCTCTCCCTCTACTCTCCCTCCTTCTCTAAAAAAAAAAAGAGAGAGAGAGAGAGAATGGAGGAGAGATAGCGAGAGATAACCCAAAATAGAATCTTAACTATAGAGAACAAAGTCGTGGTTACCAAAGAGGACGTGGATGGGGGATGGGTGGAGGTGAAGGAGATTAAGAGTACATTTATCACAATGAACACTGAATAATGTACAAAATTATTGAATCACTATATTGGACACCTGAAACTAATATGACATTCTATCTTAACTACACTGGAATCAAAATAGAATTTTTTAAAAGATTTTATTTATTTATTTATTTATTTATTTATTTATTTATTTATTCATGAGAGACACAGAGACAGAGAGAAAGGCAGAGACACAGGCAGAGGGAGAAGCAGGCCCCATTCAGGGAGCCCAACGCAGGACTAAATCTAGGGACTCCAGGGTAACGCCCTGGGCTGAAGGCAGGCACTAAGCCGCTGAGCCACGCAGGGATCCCCCAAAATAGAATTAAAAAATTTTTAGAGAGACTGTGAGCAGGAAAAGGGGAGAGGGTCAGAGGGAGAGAGAGAGAATCTTAAGCAGGCTCCATGCTCAGTGAGGAGGCTAATGCAGGGCTCGATCTCATGACCCTGAGATCATGATCTGAGCTGAAATCAAGAGTGTGAAGCTTAACTAACTGAGCCACCCAGTTGCCCCTAAATTTTTTTTTTAGAAAGACTATCTTTGAAGAGACATAATCAAGGATACGATGCTTTCAGTTTCTGATGAAATGACTTCATAAGAATTCAAAAATTTGGGTACCTGGGTGGCTCAGTGGTTGAGCATCTGCCTTTGGCTCGGGTCCTGATCCCCGGTCCTGGGATCGAGTCCCACATCGGGCTCCCCGCAGGGAGCCTGCTTCTCCCTCTGCCTATGTCTCTACCTCTCTGTGCTTCTCTCATGAATAAATAAATAAATAAATCTTAAAAGAATTCAAAAATTAAAAAAAAAAAACAAGTACCTCATTGGAATGCCATATGTGATATACATTCATTCCTAAAAAGCTAGATGATAAACTGACCCAAATTTCAACTGCACTTGGGAAGTTTGTTTCCTAAAGATATTCTATATTAAATCTTTTTAAAAAGAAAAAAAAAAGAGTCCATCTAAATGAAAACTAGGTGAATAATCGAAGTAAATGCCAGGCTAAAAAGATGTTGGTCTAAGAAAAGATTTTACCAGCCTTAGGAGTGAATTTTAAAGATTCAACATCCCTGCTCAGTCTAGGATTAAATCCAAGCCAGAGGATGGTGGGGGCGCGGGGAGGTGCTGTTGCGTGAGCTGCAGTTCTGGACTTCTCCAGAAGGGGCGCCATAGCCCAGCCAGCATATGCACATTGGCCCAGGCGAGGCAGAAAGCCAGCACCTTCCTACACGGTGTCGGAAGGCAATCTCTCATCTCAAAATCAAGCCTATAGGCCCTGTGATCCGGTGATGCCACTTACAGAGATTTATCCCAGATACACTTGCACACGTGCAGGAGGATGTATGTACACGGATGTTATTGCAGTACTGTGAATAAAGGCAAAGGATTGGACCCGGGCACCTGGCTGGCTCAACCGTTGAGCATGCCTTCTGCTCAGGTCATGATCCCAGGGTCTGGGGATTGGGTCCCGCATAGGGCTCCCTGCGAGGAGCCTGCTACTCCCTCTGTCTATGTCTCTGCCTCTCTCTCTGTCTCTCATGAATAAATAAATTAAAAACTTAAAAAAAAAAAAAAGATTGTACTCAACCCATGTGACCCTCCATAGGATCCTGGTGTAATACTTTGTGGCACATCCAACTGTGAATATTATGCAGCCAGTGAAAGGGATTATAACATTTTCAGTGTGAATGTTTGTCTTGATTTGAAAAAAAAAAATTAAGTGCTATGGATTGAATTGTGTCACGACCTTCCTGACAAGTGGTATCATATGTTCAATCCCTAACTCCCAATACGATGGTATTTGGAGATGGGGCTTTGGGAGGATGAGGCCATTAAAGGTGAGGCCCCATGACTGGATTAGGGCCCTTATAAGAAGAGACATGAGAGAACTTCTTGGTTTCTCTACCCTGAAGACACAGCAGGAAGGTAGCCATCTGCAAGCCAGGAAGTCTTCACCGGCATCAGATAATGCTGGCCCCCTCATCTTGGTTGGAATCCAGCCTCTAGAACTGTGAGAAATAAATTTCTGCTTATCCTGCACAGGTAGGGTCACCTGGGTGGCTCAGTGGTTGAACATCAGGTCATGATCCCAGGGTCTGGGGATTGGGTCCCGCATAGGGCTCCCTGCGAGGAGCCTGCTACTCCCTCTGCTTATGTCTTGCCTCTCTCTGTGTGTTTCTCATGACTAAATAAAAATCAAATCTTCAAACAAACAAACAAACTGCACAGGTAATGGTGTTTTTTAATGGCAGCCTGAGCCAACTTAAGACAATAAGTAAAAAATCTGTGGGTGTACAATTCCCAAGATACACTATTAAGTGAAAAGCAAGACGAAAAGCAGTGCTGAAGTTGTATAAAAAGAGAGAAGTAGGGATCCCTGGGTGGCGCAGCGGTTTGGCGCCTGCCTTTGGCCCAGGGCGCGATCCTGGAGACCGAGGATCGAATCCCACGTTGGGCTCCCGGTGCATGGAGCCTGCTTCTCCCTCTGCCTGTGTCTCTGCCTCTCTCTCTCTCTCTCTCTCTCTCTCTCTCTCTCTGTCTCTCTCTCTCTGTAGCTATCATAAATAAATTTAAAAAAAAGAGAGAGAGAAGTATTTATGTGCCAGTTCATTTATCCACAGAACAGCTCTGGAAGTTTCCAAGGAATCCCGACAGTGATCACATCCAAAAGGGGGAACTGGTGCTTTTCGAAATTTGTAAAATGTGAACAAGGTAATAAATCCCCTACCATCATACTATCAAACGAGCAAACAAAGGAGTGAGCTTCAGGTTCCCCTGGAAAATAAAAGAGCCTGGGGTTAGGGGCGCCAGGCCCAGGGGAAACTCTGTCCCGTCCTGGGAGTTCCCGGGTTTCAATGTGTTTGTATTCCAGAAAATAGGTTGGTTTCCCGTGCCTGTGGCCTGCAGGGACTACCTGAGCTTGGAGGGCAGCCGCTCAGGCCCCCAGACTGGGTCCGTGGTGCCCAAAACACTGCTGTCCTAGCACTGCCTGCAGTTGCACGGGTCTCCCAGCAGGGGGCGCGCGGTAGTCTGAGCCCCAAGCCCCCTGCCTCCCCCAGCAGGGCGGTGCGGCCCTGGGGTCCGGAATGCGTCTAGGGACAACGGGTCCCCCCAGCCAGCGTCCCTGGAGGCTTTCACGGACACAGACGGGGTCCTGGCATCGCCCCCCGGAGAAGAATGCAGACCGCGGAGGGAGGGAGCGTCAGGCCGTGCCACACCCCTGCGGAGGAGCCACACGCTAGACCTGCGCCTTCTTAGGGCCTGGGAGCCTGACAGTCTGGGCTACTGTCCTGGCTCAGACACCGGCCAGGTACTCACTGCTTGCAGTTTCCTCATCTGTTAAATCGGGGTGAGGAAACCTACCTTGCAAAGTTGCCGTCAGGGTAAGAAAAACGGTGTGTCCTAGACCAAGCACTGTGGGATGACCAGCCAGACACGATTATCTGTAGTTATTCTTATTATTTTATTATTTTAATTTTTTTTTTGAAGGATCTGACACCACACTCAAATCTTGTTTCAGAGAGGAATCGGCTAAGTCTCTCCCACGGTCAAATTTCAGTTTAGGGTGCCCCATCTTTGGTCTCGTCTCCTCTCAGCTGGGGAGCTGTCCTTGATTCCTTTCTTTTTGTCCCATCTCCACTCAATTCCTCAGTAATTCTGTCTGCTGTCTCCAAAATCTATTCAGAATCCACATAGTCTGAGTCCCCATCATTGCTCCCCTGGGCCAGTGCAGGCACTTTCACCTTGTTCTAGCTTCTACCTTCATCCTTCCAGAGGTCTGTGAACATTTCAAGCAAATCAACTCCCTCCTCTGCCTCCCACTTCACCAAGAGTAGAAGCAAAGTCCTCCATGGGCCCCACAAGGCTCTGTCTCTTCTGCATCATCTACTTCCTGCCTCTGTTTCCTCCCACCACTCTCCTCTATTACTTCTCCAGCCAGAAGGGCTGCTTTTCTCTGTTTTCAGAGAACACACAGGCATGTTCCAACCTCAGGACCCTTGCACTGCTGTTCCCTCACCCTGAAAAACTCTTCTTTCAAGTGTTCCCAGGGCAATGATGTCTCAGCTTACATCGTATGTCACCTCTTTGGCAGAGAAGCCGCCCCTGACCACCATCGCATCACTGTATTGTAGCCAGAATTATCTCCGTGATTTCTTCACTCTGCTGTTGCCTGTGTCCCCCATCAAAATGTCGATTCCACAAGGGCTGCGTTGTCTCATTCACTGCTGTGAGGTTTCCCATCTTCTGCCGCCACCATCTTCAGCAGCTTTTCCTACAAATTCCTTTATTTAAAAAGAGAAAGTCTGCAAAAACAGCACTTAGGGAGGGCGATGGCAGGCCAAAGGGCGTCAGTCTGCAGCCGGTGCGGGTACCAGGGTCCAGGAGGCTGTGAGCGCACCAGGGCCGCCGGTGGAGCCGCTGGTGTCCAGCCCGTCCGGCTGGGGGGACAAGCGCCCCAAGTGGCGGCAGCTGCCGTCCAAGCCAGGGGGCAGCCAGCGGTTGAGGCCTTCCGAAGCCCCCGCGGGGCTCCCGGACCCCTGGGAGGCGTCCTGCTCTCTGGTGCAGGGGCGGCGGCCGCAACAGAGGAGGCGCACGAGAGCGTGGCGCAGGTCGCGGTTGGTGAACGTGTAAATCATGGGGTTCAGAAGCGAGTTGGCCATGGCCAGGCCCAGGAAGGGGTCGGCCTGCAAGAGCACGGGGCAGGCGCGCGCCGGGCACGCCACGTCGAACAAGAGCAGCAGGAAGAGGGGGCCCCAACACAGGAGGAAGGCCAGCAGCACCAAGCTGAGCGTGCGCAACAGCGCCAGCGAGCGCGGCGGGCGGCGGGCCCGGGTGGAGGCGCCCCCGGAGGCCCCGGGGCGCTCCCGCAGGCGCCGCGCGTTGGCGCGCACCTGGCAGTAGATGCGCCCGTAGAGCGCACAGATGGTGGCCAGGATGCCGAGGAAGGCGAGCACGCAGAAGAGCACGTAGGCCTTGGCGTAGAGCGGCAGGACAGTGGAGCAGGAGTCCAGGCGGCCCAGACAATTCCAGCCGAGCGCCGGCAGGAGTCCGAGGAACAGCGACACGCCCCAGGCGGCCCCCGCCAGTGCCAGCGTGCGTCCCCGACGGGAGGCGGGCGCGGGTCCGCGGCGGGCCATGGTGAGGCGGCGCTCCAGCGCGATGGCCAGGAGGCTCAGCACGGACGCGGCGAGCGCCACGAAGACGCCACCTTCGCGGGCGAACCAGAGCGCGGGCGACAGGCGCAGCGTGAGAGGCCCCGACAGCAGGATGTTGGCCGCATAGGCCGCGCCTGCCAGCAGGTCGGACAGCGTAAGGCTGCCCAGGAGCAGGAACATGGGCGCGTGGAAGCGCGGGTGGCGCGCAAGCACGAACAGCACCGCCAGGTTCTCGAGCACGATGAGGGCGCACACGGCCAGGGACACGACGGCGTCCGCACGCAGCCCCGCGCCGGGCTGGTAGCGCGCGCCGCGCAGCTTGCCGGTGTAGTTGTAGTGCAAGACGATGACCTCGCTCACCGGCGCCGGCCGCAGCAGCCCCGACTCCATGCGCCTCCTGCCCCAAGGCTGCGGGAGGGGTAGGGTGCGGTGTCAGGCCTGGGGGCGCGGGCACGGTGGGGCGGGGCCTCGGGGAAAGGGGCCCTAACCCCCCCACTCCACACTCCCCCCGGGGCCCAAAGGGAGCTCGGAATGAAAACGAGGTGGCCGGGGAGACAGGCCGACACAAAGACACGCAAATAATACCACGAGGGGACGTGGTGACACAGAGTCCTATAGGAGAGGGACACTAATAATTCACACATAATCAGGGATATCCGGGGCTGGATTCAATCAGAAATAGACAGGGACCCACAGAGACACACTGACATGCTGACAAAGACATGAACACACAGTCACAAATTAGGGCAAAAATATACAGTCACACCCTATCAGGGAAACAAGAAAATAAAGTCACACATGAACAGAGCAACATTGAGACATACAGGGACCTAACTTCAGTCACAATCAGAAAGGGTCTTGCCCAGTCCTACAGGCCACAATTTCACAACCTCCACCCACACCCAGCCTGGAGCCCAGAACCCCACATTCTACACGCCTCGCTGCACACAGAGCTTTTTCCTGTCCAAACCCCTTCATCCACCACAAAAGAAGAAAAAAAAAAAAAACACCCTGTGAGATAAGCTAAGTCTGTTCTCCCATTTTACAGAGGCAGAGCCTGAGGGCAGCAGACAGGACCCAAATTGCACCAAGGGACGTTTGCAGAGAGGCACACGTGTCATTAGGGTATAATAATACTTCCCGCCTGAGACTTCACCCTTTCATCCCCTCCACAGCTCTCCTCTTAATCCCAATTTACAGACACCAGCTGTGACTCGAAAGAAGTCCCTTACATAAAAAGTGGACACAAAGGTGTTCCTCTTCTCGCATAGGTGCGGCTACTCAGAAATGGTTATGCGAGTCAGAAAAGGTCCTGAGAGTCCCACTTAAGAGATGAGAAAACCGAGGCCGGGCAAGGGCCACGGGCTTATTTGGACGCGGCAGGAGCAAGTGCATCCCAGACGCCTCGGCTCCGCTCAGGGAACCTTGCACAAATACAGACCCAGGGAGTCACGGCCTCAGCCACGCAGAGGGAGGGAGGCATCAAATCCGCACAGACACTGTTGACACTCGCTCTGATGGGGACACCGAGCAGAGGCTCACAACCTCTGCATCTCCCGCCTGGCCTCGGATTCCCTGGCAGCAGGACCGAAGTAGCGAAACTCACGGTGGCGCAGCCAGGAGAGGGCGAGGCCAGGGAATTCCTGGAGCCCCTACCCGGATCCCGGCCCCGCGTCCAGCCGGGGAGTCGCCGGCTTCCCCGCCCCCCGCCCCCCCCCACCGAGGCCAAGGGGGGGACCCAAACAAGGGGACCGGGGAGGCGATCAGGGCCACCCACTGCGGGCACGGCTGAGCCCCGCGCACCTGGAGACCCGGTGCGGTGCACTCACCCCTGCGCCCTGGTCGTGCGTCCCCGGCAGTCGCGCAGCGGGGAGCGGAGTAAGCCACCAGGGCTCGGGGGGCGGGGCTGGAGCTGGCAGGCGAGGGGGCGGGCCCACAACGCGGACCTCTGGCGGTCGCCAGCCGTCGCCCCCTCCCTTTGGGGCCCGGGCACCCAGCCCATGGCTGCCAGCCTGTGCCACCCGCCGCGGCACCGGAGCGCGCCCCGGCGGCGACTGGCACCGGCGAGCCCTAGGCTCCCCCCTCCGGGCCTGAACCGCTCGCCCCGGGACGCTCCGTCGTGGTGGGAGGACTGGGAGACGCGGGAAGAGGAGGTTGTCAGCCCGGGCGGCCGTAGCCGGAGCCTCTTCCCGTCCCCCCCCCCACACACACAGAGGGGTCCCGTCTGTCCCCAGACGCTGGTCCCTGCCCATTTCCCCGCCTGCCGTCCAGCTGAGCCTCTGGGCTGCACCCCAAGAACGCCCCGTCGGCGAGAGACCCCAGCAGCGCAGGTTAGAAGTCTTCAGGAAGGGCGGCGGCAGCCTCGGTCCCCACCCTCCAGCAGTTAGGTCCTGGTGGCTCCTCGGGGCGCAGGCCACTTTCCATCCTCCCGCCCCACATCCTACCCCCCCCCACCACACACACACCTGGCTTGGAGGGAGCTGGGGAGGCGCAGGTGAAGGCAGGGTTCTGGTGGGAGCCTCCTTCTCCCCAGATGAGGAGGATCTGGTTGGAAAGTCTTCTTGGCCCCGCCCCCACCCCCCCACCCTTGCTCTCCTACTCTTATTGCTCCCAACGACACGATTTGCTCATTTAACATGTTTCTGGGTTGTGTCCCCACCAGATGGTCAGCCCCCAGGGAGGCAGGGTTTCACGCCTGTTGGTGGCGCAGCGGGGACACAGCCCAGGCCCGGTAAGTTACCCGCTGACTGAGTAAATGAATGAATGAGTGTGTGTCTCTCTCATGGGTCTCTCAGGGTCTGGCTCTCTTTCTCCCCGTCTCTCTTGCATCTCAGTCGTTGGCTGTGTCTTTGTGTGGTTCTCCCACGCCTCTCCCAGGCCTCTGCTCCTCCAACGGGCTGGTCTGAGCTGGCCCCACACCCCCACTCCCAGTTCCCAGGAGTTTCCTGGCCAGGCCCAGCTCCCCCACCCTCAGACCAGAGGCTACAGCCAGGAAGGGGGACTAGGCCTGGTGGCCACTACTTTCCCCAGGATTGGTGCCCTTTGACTCAGCCCCGGTGGGGTGAGGGTGTCCCAGGGGACTGAGGGGAGGCTTGGGAGAGTGCCCCCAGGCGAGGGATCACAAGGGGCACCCAGGCCTGGTCACATCCCTGTGTACCCCCTTGAGGAGTCCCCGAGGCTTCTCGCCCCACTGTTCCTGGGGGAGACAGAATGGTTCCCGCCTGCTGGGACCAAGGACACATGCAAGGCAGTGCCGCCAGTGGGGGTGGTGTGGGGGCTGGGGAACGCTTGGGTGGCGGTGCTCCACAGCCTTGGCTTCCAAGCTGACAGAGAGGAGCCCTGGAGATTCCTCAGACGTGGTGGGGCCACCCAGGTGCTGGATAAATGACCCCCTTCTGGGAAGGGGAAGCCACGCCCCACGTGGGAAGGTGGCCTCTTCACACCTCCCAGGCTGCAGTCTCACCTCCCTGGGGCTCTATGCTGCAGAGGGAGGCTCTTCCTGCCACCCATCCAGGGCCCTCCAAACACCCCCACCCTTCCAGTGCCTCTTTTCTCTAGACTGAGACCCTGACTTCTCTGGCAGATGTCAGGAGCCTGGGCATCTCTGTGCTTCCACCCCTATCCACCATTCCACACCTGCGGCCACAGTCCTTAATACTCGGATGAGTTTCCCCTCCTGCTCTAAATTCTCCCATGGCTCCCTAGGCGACTCAGAAGAACCACCAAAGTCTTCACCCCGGTCCACATGGCCCTGGGTGTCTCCTTATCACTTACTTCACTATTTCCTTGCCTCCAGCTGTTTACTGCCCTCCAGCTCCACTGGCCTCCTCCCAATTCCTCACACAATTGAGGACCTTTGCCCTTGGGGATGGGTCTACCTGGAACACTCTTCCTCCAACCCTTCCCAGTTGGTCACCTCCACAGAGAGGACTTCCTTGATCTGTCTCCCTCCTCCCCAATCTCACAAGACATTTGACATCATCTGAAATTACCTTGATTATTTATTCACTTATGTGGCCTATTGTGTGTCTGTGCCCTAGACCCTCAGATCCAGGAAGGCAGAGACGTCTGTCCCTCTGCCCAGATGTCATATAAATAAATAAAAAGGGTTCAGAGTCTGTTGCCAGGCTCACCTACTTTGTCTAGGACCATGGCAAATGATGCCCTCTCTGAGACTCAGTGGCCTCATCTGTAAAATGGACTTAATAACAGTGTCCACTCTGAGGGATATTGTTGAGGATGAAAGGTATGATTAGAACAGAAGCCAGGACCAAAAACAAAGACAAAAACAAAGACGCGAGCCAGGACATACAGTGAAAGGAGATGGGCCAACGAATAAATCGAAAGAAAAATGAAAAAAATACCCAGAGACAAATGAAAACACTACAGGTCAAAATCTTTGGGATGCAGCAAAGCAGTTCTAAATGTTGGGTACTGTTGGTCACCACTGTATGCCTGAGGAGGATTTAGGATAGGACTCAGCAGGCAGCCCCAATGGCCCAGCGGTTTGGCGCCGCCTTCAGCCCCTGCCTGCCTTCAGCCCGGGATGTGATCCTGGAGCCCCAGGATCGAGTCCCACATCGGGCTCCCTGCGTGGAGCCTGCTTCTCCCTCTGCCTGTGTCTCTGCCTCTCTCTCTCTGTCATGGTTAAATAAATCTTAAAAAAAAAAAAAAAAAAGGGTAGGACTCAGCTCAGGCTCTACGGGCCTCAAGCATCATCCCCCAAACACCCCCTTGCAAAGTCAAGCCCGGTCTCTTCCCAGGGGAAGGGCATCCCTGGCCTGCGCTGTCCTGCCACAGCCCGCCCACCTGATGCATGCCTGGGCGGGCACACCCACCAAGCAGGTTCTGCTACCTGGGCCCTCAAACAGGGGCCGCCCTGCCCACTCTGCACCCACTCTCAGAGCAGAGTCAGTGCCCATGAGAGGACAGCAGGCCTAACATGGTCTCCTCAGACCCCCACCCACCTGAAGATTTGGAGGACCACAGCGGCGGTTTCCATTCTTCCCTCTCACCCCCTTTGGTCCGATCCCGAGGCATGAATGTGGTGCAGAGAGGTGCAAACCAACTTTCCCACTGGCCAGAGACCAGAGCAGTCATGGTTTGAGGGACCTCAAACTGGAAGCCCGAGCACCTGTGGCCCACATCCACAGGCGTGTTTGCTTAGCTCAGAGGCTTCCCATTCAAACAACTGTCTGAACTGGCCAGAAACGCTGCACTTTAGCTGGTAAATGTGTTGCTCACAGGCGTACAGGTTAACAGCTCTGGAACTATTTATATGCTAGTGTTGAACAAATAAGTACATATGGTAGATTCTTCTGACAACCAGGTTTCATGCTGTTGCAGAAGGAAGTTACAAAAAAGTGATGTGGGGGCGCCTGGCTGGCTCAGTCCATGGAGCAGTGGAGCATACCCCTCTTCATCCCAGGGTTATCGGTTTGACCCCCGCATTGGGCGTAGACATTACTCAAAAATAAAATAAAATCTTTTTTTTTTAAAGATTTTATTTATTTATTCATGAGAGACACAGACAGAGAGAGAGGCAGAGACACAGGCAGACAGAGAAGCAGGCTCCTTGCGGGGAACCTGATGCGGGACTCGATCCTGGGATTCCAGGATCATGCCCTGGACCGAAGGCAGCACGTTTACGCTGAGCCACCCAGGGATCCCCTCAAAAATAAAATCTTAAAAAAAAAAAAAAGCAATGAGGTGCTGGATTGTGGTTAGCAAGATGGCATGTTTAATAGATAGCTAAGAAAAAAAATATAAATGTGTGTATACATGGCCTAGTAAACACACATATATTTCCTAGTGCTGTCTGCTGAAGATTCAGAATATTGGCACACTAGAAAAAATGAGTACACTCAGACCCCAGGTCTTGGTTTCTAAATACCTTTGTCCAAAAAAGGAAAGAAGTAGCCGATCCTAGGGCTAAGGAGAGAAAATACAAAACCAGCCTGGAGCGCTGCCTTCAGCCCAGGGCGTGATCCTGGAGACCTAGGATTGAGTCCCACATCAGGCTCCCTGCATGGAGCCTGCTTCTCTCATTCTCTCTCTCTCTAATAAATAAAATCTTAAAAAAAAAAAAAAAAAAAAAAAAAAAAACAGCCTGGAGACTTTTCCAGGGCCAGAAAGTCAGAAAGTCCTAAAACAAAACCCAAGGACACAGGAGCCAACCGGAAAGAACACCCCCAGGCCAAAGCTGGAACAATCTGAGCCACCTTGGTGGCTCAGTTGGTTGAGCCTCTGCCTTCAGCTCAGGTCATGATCCCGGGGTCCTGGGACGAGTCCCACATTGGGGTCCCCGCAGGGAGCCTGCTTTTCCCTCTGCCTGTGTCTGCCTCTGTGTGTGTCTCTCATGAATAAATAAATAAAATCTTTAAAGAATATATGTGAGAAACAAAACGAATAACCATAGTACTGGATTATAACCCAAACAATGAGATAAATATCCACAAGCCCATACTGATTAGAAATACATGATTAGGGGGATCCCTGGGTGGCTCAGCAGTTTAGCGCCTGTCTTTGGCCCAGGGCGCGATCCTGGAGTCCTGGGATCGAGTCCCGCGTCAGGTTCCCGGCATGGAGCCTGCTTCTCCCTCCTCCTGTGTCTCTGCCTCTATCTCTCTCTCTATCATAAATAAATAAATCTTCAAAAAAAAGAAAGAAATACATGATTAAATCAATTCAAAAAATGGAGGAGAAGCGACAAATCTCCCTGACTGAAGAATTTCAATTAATAAATGTAGAATGAGGGGCACCTGGGTGGCTCAGTCGGTTAAGTGACGCTTGGTTTTGGCTCAGGTCCTGATCTCAGAATCATTAGATCTGAGCCCGGAAGGGGGGGTCCATGCTCAAAGTCAGCTGGAGAATCTATCTCTCTCTCCCTCTCCTTCTGCTCCTCCACCGCTCAGCTCTCTCTCTCTCTCTCCCTCTCTCTCTCACTCTGTCTCAAATAAATAAATAAATAAAATCTTAAAAAAAATAAATGTAGGATGAATGATGAAAAGAGAAACTAGGGATCCCTGGGTGGCGCAGCGGTTTGGCGCCTGCCTTTGGCCCAGGGCGTGATCCTGGAGACCCGGGATCGAGTCCCACGTCGGGCTCCCGGCGCATGGAGCCTGCTTCTCCCTCTGCCTGTGTCTCTGCCTCTCTCTCTCTCTCTCTGTGACTATCATAAAATAAAAAAAAAAAGAGAAACTAGCCATTAGAAACCCCAGTAAGGCTTACTGCAGACAGAATCCACTGATGGATGAAAAGTTTAATGGACAAAACTTTAAGGAGAAACAGGACATTTGCACAGCCTCACAGTTTCTACCCCTAAATATATATTTTAAATATTTTATTTATTTGACAGAGCGAGAGAGCACAAGCAGGGGAGCAGCAAAGGGAGAGGGAGAAGCAGACTCACTGCTGAGCAGGAAGCCCAATGTGGGGCTTGATCCCCAGGACCCTGGGATCATGATCTGAACCACCCAGGTGCCCCTCTACCCCTAAATATGTATTAATCATCTTGATGTCTTGTGAGGTGCCTGGCTGGCTCAGTTGGTAGAGTATGTGACTATTTATTTTTTATTTATTTATTTATTTATTTATTTATTTATTTATTTATTTATTTATTTATTTATGATAGACATAGAGAGAGAGAGAGGCAGAGACACAGGAGGAGGGAGAAGTAGGCTCCATATCGGGAGCCTGACATGGGACTTGATCCCGGGACTCCAGGATCGT